AGAAAATTCTGGGCTCATCATACCTTAAAAGTTTCAGGAAAGGATGTTTCAGCGCGATACTGCATGAATGGACCTGCTTTCCATTCATGTTTTGGGATCTCCTGCAACTTATGCTGTGATTGATATCGGATTCTTATTTTGATTGGGACTGTCGTTATTATATTTGCTGCACATCCAAAAGGACAATCCAAAAATCAAGGGTATCAAAATAGGGTTGGCCCCTATCGGTTTTCACTGTTTTCGCCATATTTTGAAACGTCATGACCGTTCCCTTATACTGTCCTTTTATATAGATTTAGTCCGCTACTCATTTAGGGATGATGGAACTCTTACAAAGTCACGACGAGGGAGAGACAGGTTTCCAGGATGCATACTCGCCAAGCTGTGCAGGGCCCACAGGTCTGTCATGAAGGGCAAGAGCTGGGTCGCCAATCCTCATGTCACCAAGCTCAAGACGACAGCAAACCAGCACAAGCAACAAATGCAAAGGCTGGCGCTGCTCTTCAGATTGGGAATCCAACAGCTCCATGACCTAAGCTCGGCGAGTTGAACACGGCAGAAGATTAGCTTGTGCTACATGCGCGGCCACCTGAGCATGCAAGCGGAAACTTGGGCCCCAGCTCCTGGCCCTCCAGGATACGCTGGAAACAGCTCAAGTGTCAGCCTCAAGCTAGGCGAGTAGAAAGCAGCTTGCGCATTGCAACTTTGCCCTTCCCAGAGCAAAAACAACTAGAACATACGCACGGCGCCCCACAGCAAGAGTTGCTAAATGACACCGGAGCACGGCGATAGTTGTTCTAGCGAGTGCCTGGCGCGCCCCATCACCCTGAGTGCAGGGCAAACCCGCAGTAGGGTTGCAAAGCATGGAGGGGCAAAGGATGACGCGAGCGAAGGCGGCACCTCTCGATCCTGCGTGCGGTGGTTAGGGAAAACTTGCAGACGTCAATGGGGAACTGAGGAGGGGATCTCCATAGAAGTCCCTATACTGCATCATTATCGTCAATTCCCAGTAGAGAGAGTTTCTCAAAGCAATTCTGCTGTAATCCCGAATAAAGACCCGCCATGATCCCCTTAAAACTTATACAGTAATTCTTGCATACTCCCAGGGTCTGCAGAGACATGTGCACAAATCTCAGGTTCATCGAGCTGTACATCAGAGTGCGCATGTTTGGCTACCACATCAGAATGAAAGAGTTGGCACCAAGCACGACAGGGCAGGGCATGGCATCCCGCACGTGTGGCTCATGGGCACTGCACACAGTGCGTGCAGCTGTAATGATGCTACCGGCGGCTTGAACACGTTGATAAGCTCTGATCAGGAGGGATGGAAGCTCTGGCTGAGGAAAGCTCTCAACTGGATAGTCAGGCGGACAGGATTTGAGTATACCGTCTGATCGGAGGTCCTGAGGATCACAGCCTACTGCCCAACCATCTCAAAACAAGCCCTGAAACAGTTTGCATAGCCTCACTTGGTAGCTTCCATATATGGGGGAACCCGCATATAGACCCCAACATATGATAGTGTTTGTTATGGGGCTCCCAGGGGGACCCCTGATCACATCTTCCAGCAGCCTCAAGGCTGATTTTGAATGATGCCTGGAATCTTGGACAGGTTTTTTTCAAGCATCATTCAGCTATCCAGACGAAGAATGAATTCTTAAGGGCAGCCTTCTTTGAAAAGCTCCCGCATCAATGAGAACCCATAGCAGCTTTCGCATTTGAATGACTTGAGTGAAGGGAAGGCCTTGTGCAGCGGATGTGCTACTCTGGACCGCTTCTAAATTCAATACCAAGCAGAAATGGCGGTCCAGGTTTGGTAGATGAACATACCGCGCATCTTCATCTGAGCGTCGGCTTTATTTATTACCTGGGCCTGATGCGGCATTTTTAAACCATGGCCCCTCATCTCGTTCGCTTTATATCTAATGTTGTATTTTCCCTTGAGAAAATCACCTGATCTCCTAGCCTTGTACTCTCTTATGTGATTGAATACGGCTGCTCATCTGAACCCGTCCACTAGCGCAAAAATCTGCCAGCTCGCAACTCCTGCTGGCGTACCGGACTTGGACTCCAAGGACAAGCGCACATCGAAAGGGCGCCACAGAGTAGACCTTAGCTTAGCTCATGGCTGTATACGTCTCACACATTGAAACAGGACCTGGCGCGACAATGTGCGCATACATCCTTGTATGTGATCTCATCCCGTGCTGTACTGTATGTACGTGACGTGCAAAGGAATGTTAACATAATCTGTCTCGACCAGAAGTTCGTGGAAAGGTAAGGCTGGAACATATGCACACGCCCACAGGCGGTCAAGGTCACAGCTTCGCCACAGGAGGTGCAGCAAAAGCGCAGCCTTGCGATGCCAAATCTGCACGCGTCACTTTCAGATGGGGACTTCCAATGGGCGGTTTGACTGGAGGATCCTGACATACTGAAACGTGGAGACTTGTTGGGCACCTCATCTTAGGAACGACCTTGCAAGTCCTAGGCTAGATTAGCCGAACCACCAAAAACAACTGTGCTTTCTGAAAGCCACAAGTAGAATGCTTCCCGCCGCATCGGAACAATGCTCCGTTTTGGTAGAGCCCACTGGATACCTTGTCGCGCTGCAGACACCTGAGGCCGAAACTCGACGCGAATGTCCTGAGCAAGCTTGCGTACAGCCGTTGGGCGTACTACCTCTAGTCCACGTCTATAAGACGGGGCAGCACCGTCACTTGTGCCCACCTATTTTTGGGTCACTTGTGCCCACGTTTTTGGGGTGGGGTGGGGTGGGTTGGGGTGGGTTGGGGTGGGGTGGGGTAGGGTAGGGGGAGGAAGGGGGTGACGCTAATGACGTGTTTCAGCTAGGCCCGGCGGCTAGGCGACTTTGCAACCCTCGAGGCTCCCCATACCACCCAAACCCTAAGCTAAACCCTCACATCTAAACCCTCTGAAGGAGGAGGACGATGCTCCAGAAAGTGTGCGGGACTGCGGCAGGAGCGCGAATTTGGACGTAAAAAGCAGCCCATCCTGTGGAAAAACGCAAGCGGGCGGACACAAGCGGATGCTGTGGTTTTGCCACGACTTTAAGGAGGTGGGCACAAGCGACCGGTATGCCTGTAAGACTGCTCCTCTCCACCAACAACAATCCTGTTATCAAGTCATTGGTAGCCGCGGACAGAACAAGAGTTGGAGTTGATTCCTGTAAGGTGGAAGTAGATTTTGCCGATTCCTGGGGGCAGCCTGCCAAGCACCATGCTGATGCCATCCTTAGACGGAACCACTGAGTGATACAAACCAATGCGGAATAAATCCTAGAAGCAGCTCTTCAAGACCTTGGCATAGACGTGGTCTGGTCAGGCCGATATGCCACACGCTCCCATGGAGTCAGTAGAAACTCCGAACCAGGAATACCACCAACCAGGACACTACATGCTGTCGCCGGGAGACTAGCTCTGGTGACTCCGACGGCTCCAAGTCAAACTTGGTGCGGACGATGTGGGGCCTGGGGTCGGAGGCCTTAAGATTAGAGCTGAGGGTTGCTACAGTTTGGGATTCGGATCGAAGCGCATTCGGGGTTCAGAGTTTAGGCTTCGGTTGTTGCGCCTGGCTGAGCCATATCAGGGAGGGCTTGCATTATCAGGGACAGGTGCGGCCACTCAGGCATGGGTTGCCGGAAAATGTGAGAACCCGGCAACTACACCTCCAGCACAGGGATTCTTGGTGCAAGGCCTTTCAGATCAGACTCTATCGGCGCACTTCTACAGTGAGTCGCCGGTGCTTGGGCTGTAGACTAAATTTGAATCGCTCCGAGTTGTGGACTTTCGAAATTGAATATGCTTGGGATAGCACTTCTTCAGCATGACTCACAAATGCAATGTATACATAGCTCTTTCAACGCCTGGCCTAGCCCTGGGATGCCCTAGGCAAGGCTCTAAACTTCAGGTAGCTCTCCCTGAGCGTGAAGTGCAAAACCAAAAAACACCAGATCTGCGCAGCTCTTTTGTCAGACGGCCACCATTGAACAGTGCTTCGGGTAGCTGAGACCAAGCCCGCAGGCACCACGAGGGCCCAATCTTAACGCCGTCCAGTAGTCGCGTACTTGTGACTTGGCTAGCCGCAGTTTGCGCACCTTCTCAACTCGTACCTTACTCCATTGAGCCCTTGCACATGTTGTATGTTTCAGGAGGCATCTTGGACATTCCCAAGGTGGGAGTCCCTTCCGCGAGCCCATCAGCAGATCTCCGTGGTCGCAGGCGTCGGCTCGTCCAGGCTTACAGTGCCTGCTCAACGTCCGCAGATCTTATCTCAGGCTGAGAGATTTGGGTGGGGGGGCTTCGAGAATCAGCTTCGGGTGTAATGTTGTTACAGCATGTTGGGGTCTATATTTGGGCCCGCACTTTCAAGAACGCCTTTTGCTCAGAGCTGAATATTGAATAATTCTATATCGGCTCCGCCGTCTGCGTGGCGCGCTCACCCGCCCATGCATTCCGGATGCAAGAAAACATAATTCCCTCCACTAATAGCACAGCCCCCGCAACTGCCCTGATAATTATTGAGTTTGCCATCGCTGCAAGAGGGGAATATTTCTGATTGGGGTTGGGGATCGGTAGGTTTGAATAAGGGGGAGGGGGTTTCAAGTCGCTTGGTGCACTTTTTCGCCTTCAGCTGCTGCCCACTAGCCTGGGACTATTTCCTCAAAGGCTATGATAGGCGCCTCTAGCTCTCAGCTCTACGAGCACTGCCACAAATCGATTCCAGAAAAGACACTTCGCAAGGAGCGGCAAGCAGAAGCCCATGCATGAAGCTTTGCCTTCAAGCTTCAAGACTCTTCATTGTCCTTGTTGTCCTTCTTTCGCTTCTTGCTGGCCTTTGAGCTAGGAAACAGCTCACCTCTCTTGTGTTGAAACCTCTTCCAGGCTGGTCCACTCCGACCAGCAGAAATAGCTACTGCATACTACAGCAACATGGCGCAGCTTCAGACTTTTCAAGCAAAGATCCAAAATTCATTCTGGCATTCAAGCAACGAGATGTGGTCAGTTCCCAAAATCAGGGTCCCATTTTGGTAGCCCTAAATATTAGGTGCCGTAATGTAACCTACAACCAAAAAAGAGCCCAGAATTTTGGGAACCCTCCCTTTAGACACTCCTCACGGCCCAGGATCCTAAACACTGCTTGGGCACTCTGAGCCCCTCACTTCCACCATCCTGGGATCATGCTGAGTGGGGCGGGTTCTGGTTCCTTGTAGGGATACTAATTAACCTTGCGCTTTTTGATAGAAATCACACATGAGCTACAGTCTAAACTCCTAGTATCCCCCTAATAACCCCCGCAGTGCTCCCCTATATGACGCCCTATAGGGAGTTTCACAGAAGAACTTCAACAATGACTCCATGATTGGCTCTGAGTAGCCCTGCTGCTTTCTCCCTCTTATCCTCTTCTTGCCACTACTGCTAGCGGATGGCTCAGGGAGGAGATGCTGTGCCGCTTGATGTGTAAATGTGCCAGGCAACATCTCTCACATTGCTAGGTTCCTCATCATTTATACTGTTTGTTGTTGTTCTTGTTTCTTCCCAGCGGGCTGCATAAGTTTAATAAAGCCGAGAGTGCAACCCAGTCCCTGCAGCCCTGAGGTCTTGAATCAATTAAACAAAACCCGCCCGCAAGGACTGCCACTCTGCCAAAGGCATGCTAGATGCCCAAGCCCAAGGAAGACTCTGATCTGGCAAGCATCTGCTGCTTCTTGTGCGCTTTCTTTTTGTCGTAGCCGGAGACCGTGCTGATTCGCTTGCGCTTCGGCTGTCTCCTCGGAACCGGAGGTGTTGAAGACTCGGAGGATTGGCTAGTGGTGATGAGAGTACACGACAAACGAGGTGAAAACAGAATGCTTCAGGTTCACCCAGGCTTCGTTCGGTGCAATGTCTCCGATGAATTTCATGGCAGCGGAATACAACATGTCAATATATGTCAATGTTACAGTATCGCTACCCTGTCGTCCATTACCTTGTGGACAGCTTTCAAGGATTGGAATTCAAAGCATCGGCGGTCCCTCCTTTGGGTGCAACAAGCCCATGCGCCCACGGTCCACGTTTTCCGAAAGCTAGGCAACAGAAAAAAGCTTGAAATGAGAGTTCCTAAAGCATTAGGTCCCACTTGCGGGGTACCTATAAGAAGGATTCAAATATATTGTCGTCTATAATGTCTATATCCGAGTCCCCCTACTTATGGAACTTACCAAATTGCTGGCGAGCTGCCACTCTGCCATTCGTCTCTCCTGTGCAGGCAAGTCCAGGCTTGCGCAGGAGACTGTCTGGAGATTGCTTCTTCCGTCCATATGAGCTATAATCTAAACTCCTAGTATCCTCCGTAATCACACCTTTAACAGTCCCCTATAGAGTTTGTTGTTGCTGTACGTGGGACCACTCCTCACAGCCCCCACAAGCCAAGCCCAAAGCCCAAAGTAATCGTCTCAACCAGGATCCTGTCTTAGGGCCCAGGTTGCCCAGGCTTGCATATTCCCTCGCAACCTGTGCCCGCCTTCTTGGGCTTTGCCTTCAGGCGGAGCATCCAGTCGGGCACTTCGCAGCCAGACTGCCGCATCACCCCAACGATACCTTGGGTTTTTGGCGCCCACAAAGTGCAAATGGTCATAGTTACGCTGTATGTTTCATTATGTGGGAAGATAGGCGCATCCGCTTGGAAAGAACACTTGCCGCGTAATCCCACTTGGGGTGAAAATCCTTCCCTTGAGGCTCTCAGCTGTCAAAAAAGATGACACTGATAGCTACACATGCGCAGCTTCTGACTCAGCTAGAACCAGCTCAACATGTGCAAAACTCCGAGTATCCCCTTTCATAAACCCTATATAGTTCCCTAGAAAACCTCTTTAAAATAGCTCATGTAGTACCCAAACTAGATGCGCAGAAGTTGTAGCAAGCAGCTGCGAAGCGATTCAAAGTCTTCAATGGTGAACAAGGTGATAGCCTTGCCATTCCTCCCAGGCAGCTGACTTTTGGGCGACCGGGCCATATTATGTAAGGTTTTGTGAGAGGCAGAATCCCCAATATGTACTCGCTTGTAATATAGTAGCTGCGATTTTCTTTTCCATTATCCACATATAACCTGTATTTGAAGTTACTCCAAAAATTCAGGAGCCGAGCTCAACTTGCTCGCTCTCAGGCTGAGTTGAGTTTGGGACTCCTAAGCGCGAGTGCTTCAATTTCGTCAGCTCGGGAATTCCAAGCTTGCTGCCTTCACCAAAACTCGTTCTGTGAATACGTGCAAGCCAAAGAGTGGAATTTGATCGCAGGAACGGAAGATCCTCTGACTCAGTGAGCTAGACATGTTGAGTACCTGGACCGAATTACAACAAAAGTCGGTAGGATCCAAGTTGCCACTAGCTTGACGTGAGCACATGCTAAGCAATCGCGGCGCTTCAGTTCCATGCCAGTCTGGACACTGAGGAGCTAAATTCACACAATACTATGATCTACTAGTCCCCCTTTCGAAGAACGACTTGCAGACCCTATAGCCATTATTCGCATACACATACATTCATATTATTAATCCATTTGTTCACGTTGGTTGCTTCCAGCCCTCGCCAGCCTGCCCGCGCGGCCTGTACGCCCAATCCTCACCAAGTCTCAGGGCTCAGGGCTCAGGCATCACACCATGGGTCTCCTAACCATTTAAGCACCCATACATAGCTACTAGCGTCAGTTGCTGTTGTTCTCCTGCGAGCAATGGCTTGAATGGAGGATGCCGAGCATGGGCATGTGGGCAGGTGATGTTGCGCTACCTACAGTAACGTCTACACCCACAGCCTGTGGCAAGAGTCCTGTGGATGTACGTGGCTGCCGACTGGGGGAAATCGTAATTGATCACCTCAAAGCCCAGGAGGTGCACTGAACAGTAATAATAATCGTAATAATAATAATGATAATAATAGTAACAAATAGTAATAGCAATAGTCCGGGACAGGGGAAAGCTCTCAAGCAACATCCATGCAGCAAACTGGATGCAGATGGGCCACCGTTTCCACGCCTGGCATGACACTTCAACATCTTAAGTATGGGCCCAGGACCTTCATTTATCCAGTACTTTCCGTTAACAATTTAGTTTTGTCCTGACTTGTGCTTACAGTTTCAGACATTTGAAGCTGCTCCTGCTGTGCAGCAAAATGTGTCACTCAGGCAGCTTTTCTCATCCGCTCCGAAAGACATTGAATTGTTCAACAGCCCAATTCAAGCGGCCTGAGAGGTTGAGAGGTTTTACGGGAAAGCATGCCAACGATCATCATACATCCCGAAACAGTCAAAAATGACACCCTAAATAGTAGTTTCCATTTTCTTTTCCATTATCCCAATATATACCCTACATAATCCCCCTACATAATCCCCTATATAACCCATTATAATACCTATGTGATACCCAAGGGGGCACATCAGCCTGGTGGCCTTACTCTACGAATGTGGGCGGTTGTCAAAATTATGGTCCCTTTTTGGGTATCCTAAATATTAGGTGCCGTACTATAGTGAGGACCCAAAGAGGGACCATAATTTTGACAACCACCCATGTGATGAATGGTGTTGGCCCTAACGTAGCTCTCGGGATTCTCTTTCAACGTAATGCCTTCCCAATCGCGCCCCCTCGGACTGCTTTTAGGAAAGAAGAGTCGGGCCTTTGAAGTCAACACCGCGAGCCATGAGGTCAGTGCAAATGAGGACCCAAAGCTTGCCAGCTCGAAAAGCCTTGACCTCAACGGCATCGTTTGTTCTGCTGCAGCTGCGCTGCTGTGGAGCATGACTGAAGGAATACCATAAACATGAGTGGAACATGGAGCTTTCGCAGCACGAGGCCAAAGCAACACGAGAAAAGCCAAGTGTCGAGAGTTGGGGTCCCATCTGCTAGTGCAATTTAATTTGGAACCTTAGCAGTCTTCGCTGAAGATCAGGCCTGCAGAACAGGATGCTTATAGAAGCTTCGAGATCATCAGCAAAGTCTGTTTCAAGTTGGTTCTAAAATCGCCACACCGCCTCCTTCTTCTTATTACATCTGCTCCAAAACGCCCTTCTGCTAAATCCACATCACTCAAGAAAGCATCGCACTCACAACGCACAAGCCTTCAAAGAACGCAGCAATTTTGGGAAGAGCTGGGTTTCCTGCCGTGTTGTCTCTCTGCAGCTTCGTCCTGTCTGCATGGATCGCATCGACAAAGATCCCATCCTGTGAACCGCTCATGGGCCGCGGGTTCAGATCGGGGTCACCAGTTGTTCATCCAAACCTTTCACCAGAAAGCACCGTCCAGTGCGAAAGCCACAGAGGGGACGTAACACTCATATGAACTTTGCCAGGGTTCGTAGACCAGCTCGCCAAAGAGCTCCTTGGCACGCTCCTGGTTGGGATGTACCCGTACACAGCGCCACTAATCTCTTGCGTCGAGATGCTATGAGATCTTGTTATCCCTCAAGAATTGAGTGCAACTATTGCGCACAGCAAGCGCTTCCGTCCTTGGAAGGGAAGAGCCTTTCCCAAGCAAAGCGTCGAAAGCATGGTGGCCGACAAACGGCCGGCTTCTGTAACTGTAATTAACATGGCTACTCATGCCTTCCTCTTTAACTGTTACACGTAGCAGACAGGAGCGAGTGGGAGGACCATCCAAATAACTGTCTAAACGCGCAGCCCCATGTTTACCGCTATAACCCTCGCAGTCTATAGACCCGTGAAGAAACAGCTTGTAGCCATCCATGAACGTCCAGACACAGACAACAAGTCCACTGTCCCACCCCATGCTGAACCCCAAGCCCTTCTGTGAAAATCTGAACTCTGAACCCCAAACCCCAAACCATCCGAACCCCAGGACCCAAACCTCAAGATCTCATCCCTAGACCCTTAACTTTGAACCCTAAGCCTGCCTTGGACTGAACAAAGACCAGGGCGGGAGGCTTGATCTCGCCATCCTGGAGCAGCTGCCGCAAGCCTTTCAGGAGTTAAGGGTTTCTGGTTCATGGTTTAGGGCCAAGGTCTTTTATGGGACCCTTTCTCCAAGGTACAGGGTCTAAGGTTTAGACACGCGCATGGGTTAAGGAAATCAGATACTGCAAGCTACAATTTGGGTTTGGGGCCCAAGGAATGGGCGAAAAAATGGAAACTACTATTTAGGGCTTAAGGTTTCTAGTAAGGTTCAGGCAACGGGCAGGAAAATGGAAACCATTACACTCAGTTGAGATATATGTGGTATTATCGAGGAATGGAAACCAGAATGAAAAAACCAGGGAACGTTAAGTTGAAGCTGGTGGTATATGGGTCCCATGTAGAGATGTATGGGGTTTAGGCCTATCTGGCTGGATGTGAATAGGGAAGGAAGGCATGGAAACCAAAATGGAAGTCAAAGCAGGGTTTAGCGTCAAGTTCAGGATTTAGGGTTAGGAATTCAGGAATGTGCTTGTAGGATGGTTTTGGGTAAGGTATTGGGTGCCATATGGTATGTTGCTTCAATGTTTTTTGTTGGTTTCCGCTCGGGTGAGTTCCGGTATTTGGGTCATAGTAGTTTCTGTTGTATGAAAAAGGGACCTCCAGCTTCGGAAAGACCAATGCAGCCAGGGGTTTAGGGTTAATATGGGGTTTGTGTTTAGGTTGAGGGGTGTGCAGGGCCTCTTGAAACCCCCAAACCCTAAGTCCTAAGCCCTAAACCGCTGCCGAAGGCTTTATGGCTTTGTCAGGTTGCAGGACTCCCGGGGTTTACAAATTATATGGGCATCAGTGCTGCTGGGGTAACACAAAGCTTTTTGAGTGACCTGGACGTTCACATCCTTCTAGCGCTAAGAAAAAGTGAGGCAAACATGACAAGCTTATATGTGGATATATATATATATATATGTGTGTGTACGTACACGCTCTTGCTCATCCTTTTGTGGGACCTCCCATTGACTGCTTTTTATGGCTCATTTTTCGCCCAAGGGGTGTTAACAGGCAGATGCCATCTCAGAAGTTACATAGTTTCCCTATCTGAAAAAAACTCCTGCACTAGGATGAGCTGCCGTTCGAAGGGGCCCAACAAAATCCACCGAACAAAAGCTGACCGCACTGAAGCTCTATAGGCAACTTGCAGAGGCCACAGTGTCTCTTAGAAAGCTGGCTTCAAAATTAGGAACCCCCAAACAATCTACACCTACACAAGCACACACGCACTCTCACCAATGATACGAGATCCTATCAGTCTAAGTCTAACGCTGGCTCTGTGGGAGCATTGGTCCATATGAACAGGTGCAACCCCAGAAAACGCTTTGTTGAATCAAGCATTAGGAGATTGTCAAAATTGTGGCCCCTTTTGGAATACCTTCCATAAGCCTGATTCTCCCCGAGAGGGGGGGGTGGGGCCAGGGGCGGGTGGGGGGGGGGGGGGGGNNTGGAGGGTAATTCTTGAATGAATTACCTTAATGTCTAATTGCATATTTCATCACTTGGGATTATTTGATTGATTGCTCCATTGAGTATTTCACCTATCTAGTATTTCCAGAACCCCCCTAATCCATTATTAGGTGGTCCATTTTGAAGTAATCTTGCTCTTTAAAAGAGCTCTTGCGGATGTTTAGGCCCCTGAATCTGTTATTTGATATTAGGGGGAGATTTGATATTCGAGGGAAGGCATTTTACCAGCGGCCATGTTATACAACTGCCCACAGAACATAGACCAAGACAACCTACCTTCCATGTAACTGTAAAGCCATCTATATCCCAACCGTGTCGCAGCTGGGAAGCTAAACAGTTTGCCATCCTCGCTGGTGATGAAAAGTAGCTTCCTTACTCTCTCAGGCACGCACACGTCTCCCGAGAAAAAGGCAGAAGAGCACGTGAAATAACAGGGTGCCAATTGATTGTCAGCTGTAAAGCAGTTATTCCATCCAACAACGCAAGAAACCCCAAGATGAGAGCTTGAAAGCTGTGCATAGGACGACAAGTGTGCTAATGCAAGTCAGATCGCCAAAGCCTCGGCAAACAACTCTCACTGACAAAAAAGAGGGGGGGGACCGCTAAAAAGTTGACAATACTATGATCTTCTAGGTGTCTGCTCTACGTCCGGAGCTGCAGCATTTACGTCTCCAATGCTGATCCGCAGGGGTGACGTCAGAATGGAGCCAGCAAGGTCCACGACAACTGGCGGAAGGGTCGCCGAAAACATCATGGTTTGCATAAGTCTGCCCTTATCTTTGGGGCAGAAAGTCAGCAGTTCGTCCATCTGTGGCGCAAAGCCCAAGTCCAGAAGTTTGTCTGCCTCATCAAAGACCAGGTGCTTCAGTGAGTCCAGCGATATTCGATTCTCACGCAGTAGCGAGACCAGCCGAAGGGGTGTCGCCACCGCAACGTCTAGTCGCTTGATGTTCCCAGCCTTGTCACCAGATAGCTTGTCAACCAGGCGGCCGTTCCTTGACTACTCTTGGAAAAAATGAGAACACGCCTAGGTTCACTAAGCCCTAGGCTTGAGAAGTAGTGGCATAAATTTCACCCAATACAGTCACTATGTGCCATGACAGAGATCTATAAACATACTTCCATAAAAATGGGTGAAGACACCACAAACCTGTGTAACACAAATGCCTATTCTTCTCTAGACCGATCAGAGTTCCACTTTCGCCCGGCGGTAAGCTTCGCAAACTCATCCAGCGTCTGCTTGGCCAGCTCACGCGAAGGATCCACAACCAAAGCACGCGCAAACTCCTCTAATGGCTTCCGTGACACTGAATGACTCGAACATAATTCTTGAGTAGCTGGTGGTAGTACTCGTGCTGGGCACAGAATGACATAACAAAGAAAATTGCTTCGAATCCATCCATACTACCCCCGTGGTTTGTCCTTTCCGGGCTTAGCCAGCAGGGCGAGAATGGGCCCGAGGAAGGCAATAGTTTTCCCGCTGCCAGTGGGCGCAGATGCAAGAACCTGGCAGATTGTAGCCCGCCCCAGACCAACATTGATCCCCATATAGGCCCCTTTTGACGGTCCAGGCTCTTCAGATTGTAGCGATGTGCAAAGCTTAAATTTGGCTGTCAGGACCGCGATGCAACAACATGCTTCACGCGTCGAATGCGCCATGTCGAGATGCTGAGGGTTAATTAATGTAAAGATTACTCATGGGACAGCTCGCAAAATGCTTCCTGCTGCAGACCCTGAAATGAATCTAGCCCCCATTACAAGGACCCTGACGTGAAGACCCATGCTTAAGGACTTCCCAGATGACCCACAGAAAGTGGTAGCTAGTAAACCACTACACAAACCCAGTTTCCATTTAATTTTCCATGTCTCCATTATTGGGGTAATATATCCCCTTTGGGAAAACATCATACCCCTAAACCCTAAATAGTGGTTTCCATTTTCTTCTCCACTATCCCAATATTACCAATTTCAGGAATGCCCCAGGTTAGGCACCGAATCAAGGCCTAGTAGCGTGGCTTCCTGACATGATGGCTGGGAAGCATTGCATCTGAATCGGAGTTGGCCTTGGATCTTCTGGGTTTTTACGTAAGGAATTCAAATTCAATTCCCTTGATGGGTATATATGGGTAATGAATATGGTTTCCCCCTTGCAGTAACTTAACTTCAGTTCCTAAATAGTAACCCGGTCATTTTCTAGATCTTGTGGGGTGGTGCATGGGAGAGATTCGAGAGGAGGCGAGTGGGAGTTCAAGCGCACACTGGGTCACTCAAGAATCCACGCACTAGAACTCTCCCCTTATCCCTATATGAGCTCTGGTCAAAACTCCTATAGTATCCCCCTTAATAGCCCCTATAACTCTCCCCTATATAGCCTCCTTTAAGGAATTTAGGTTATAGCTCATATAATGAATAATAGTACCATACCTTTCAAAATGATCCCAGTGGCTGGGAGAAGCCCAATGAAGTCAGGTTCCGGACCAGCCAAGGCGGAATGCCCCTGCGAGCGACTCATGTGAGCTGTAGTCTAAACTCCTAAAAGGGCCTCAAAGGGGGTTATATAACGGATTATTGAGGGGAGTATCATGGGGTAGGGATCATTCAGGGGATACTAGGAGCTTAGACTATGGTTCATGTGGGAATATCCAGAAATTCTTGATCCCTTTCGGAGGTCCGTATGATAAGGAGTATATGACATGGTGGAAAGGCGCTCATGTATGGAAATTCCAAAATCCTATTTATGAGTATTTGTCCAAGTTGGTTAGGGCGCCCCAACAGTATGCGCCTGAAAGTGGCATTCAAGGCCCCACAGCGTTTCCAACAAACCCAGAATAGTAGTAGTACTGATAGTAATAATAACAATTAAACCATAAAAGTAGTACTAGCAGTACGAATACTAATAGCAATAATTAGTATTACTATTACTATTAATCTCCGCATTTTTCACGGCAAACTTCCAGAATCAAAAGCTGGAGACACATACTGTAGCTCATATTACCAGGTAACCCAGACCCCTTATTAAAAAAACACACCCTTATAGGGATTATAATGGGGATCCTGATATTAAGGCCCTTAAAAGGAGGGGGTTTATCAATCATGGGTCTACGTTAGGTCTCATGAAGTCCGGCAAATTACGAGGGACCCCTCTTTCCTATGATACTATTACTGTGGTTGGTTTTTGGCTTGGCTCCTGCTCTCCATGGTCTCGAAGGACTCAACAGGGTCTGGGGTACCAGGGCTGACGTGGATCCGGTGGCGCCGCCGAAGGGCTGCGATAGCCTGAAAAGTTTCTCAGGAGATAATAGGCCCCACATGCAGCCACTTGGATGAAAAAATCAGGCCTCCCATGATTCAAAACATGCCTGCTCAGGGAAAAGGGTGCAAAAGGCACGGCAAGACAAATTGCCCAATTTAGGCCAGACATAGAGTCTCCCGCCGCAAAACTATCACCAAATTCTTCCGGTGTAACGTTACCATAGCATTAATAAAGAGGATGACACTAGAGTTTTGTTGCCAATCCAATTTGCCCGATTTTAATAGATTCCCTTCTACTTGTCCTACTAGTATTACAAGCTGCACGACCTGGTCCTACCCATGTCCCCGTCATTTATTATTGACACCACCTGGCAAAACAAGTTCTGAAGGGGGGTATTATTGTCATGGTAACATTAGCACCCAAAACAAAGCCGGCGTTGTCTCAGTAGAGCCCTTTTGGGGGATCATGCTAGTTTGGGGAGGCCTCGCGCTTTTGCTGAGCTTGCTTCTCCGACTGCTCCTCCTGCTCTTCTTGGCTTCCGGCTACCGCGGCCTTGCCTCCTGCACTTCAGGGCACCCATGGCATGATGGTAGACGAGTTAAAGTGTTGCCCAGAAAATGGAATCATTCAACAACAACCTGGACACATCCCTACCTAGATCCATGAAACCCCCCAACAATCAATGCATGGCCTGCCTGCAGACTCCCCCAATTCCTGCCAGAGCCAAACCCCAGTGAAAGCCGGGGACAACCCATGTGCATTCCTTGCCGTAGGACGTCGAACCACTGTCTTCAAGTGTCTGGGCTGGGCATTCTGACAATTCAAGGGGTAGGGAACACAACCAAGAAACCCCCGAACCGTCTGCCTGTCCATGCACCCTGATGATCGGCTGCTCGTTGAATCTTCCCTCGCTAAAGACGCATACGTCAAAATATCGAATATGTGTCGAGTATGCCCCATCACGACCCAAAACACATGCAGCCAGAAGGTTCCACAGCATGGAATGCAGATTTCTGATGAGGATTCCCGCCGCTCCTTTTGAGCCAGGCCCTTTTTTCTTGGCTTTCGGAAGGTCCTTTGGCTGCGAGCGCTGGGCAGAGCCCGAGCCGGTCTCCTGGTGTTTTGTTGAACAGTATGAAATTTGGTAGTTTCCTGAAATTAGGGGTCCCCAATATAGACCCCAATATACTATAATCCTTATTACTGGGACCCCCAAAAAGGTACCCCTAATTTTGAGAAACCCCCATTTGTACTGTTCGAGTCAGTCACCAGATAATGCGCAAGCAAGCTTAACATGCCCACCTGCAGCTTCCTGGCTTGCGGATTATCCAGATCCAGCAACACCAAAAAGGAGGAGGCCGTATGACAATGGGCCAATGGGAAGAGGGAGTATTAGGAGTGGGGGAGGCGAATCAGGAATGAAGAAGGAGGCAAAGCACTCGTCAAAACCAAAGGCTGGTCCTTGCTGGCATCGCCATGATCCAGACCAAAGAAGTCCAGGACCCCATTTGCCCGTGTGCTCTGCGAAGGCCTAGCAAAGCTCGCCCTCATTCAAGGCTTTCCACAGTTCGAGGCTGACACACGCTGACACCTCGAACACTAACTGCAATACCAGTGACACACACACACACACAAACACACAAGGAACGGAATGATGGTATGGATGATGACAAGAATGATGGCAATCATTCTGTATCTGGAAGCCAACAAGAAAGGATGCCCCATGTCTTCGGCCTATGCTTCGTTGTGGCAACTCGAAGTCATTCACGCAGCTTCAAACCACATATGTACCACACAGAGGGGAACAGAGAAGTTGCGCGAGTTGCGTGGAGTCACAGACCAAAGCCCACGAACACACGAGATCTGAGGCACGTGTTGCAGCTTGGAGTGTTTCCGAGGCATACCTTTGAGGCCGTAGGGACTTATCAGGGGTTTTGAGAGGATTATTGGGCTCCCTGTTCGGGGTCATGACCCATACTCCAAATTTGGCTCCGCCCTTCCTGGAGATTGGCTCTGACGGCTTTCGCTTCCCGAAGGCCATCTCCTTTGACTTCTTTGTACCACCGAAGGTACAGCCTGTACAGGAGCCATCCGGAAGGTTGACTAGCATGAAGGAAGCTCACATACAGGGGCCCTTACTATCCCTGCTATATCCCCATCAAATTGCGGATAAGGCTTCGGGATTTTCAGAAGCCTGTGCAAGCTGTTCTAAATCGAAACTGGAATTTTGCTTGGCCTTGAGGTGATTTTTAGAGGTCTCTGAAATCTGTACACCATATCTTGAGAATTCCGCGGCAATCGTCCGTACATAATTTCCTCAGATCGCCCTGCATTGCAAGCATAGATGGGAGTACTTCCGGTAAGGACCATCCCATGGGCATAGAATCTACAGAGGATCGTAGGCTTCAACAATCCCTGCATGTTGGTGCGCTGGACTATCCTTTCAACATCCCATTATTGCCTTGCCCTAAACCTGACCAGGTCTGGCCATGTTTGGACCAGAAGTTTTTGGGGGTCCCGAAAACCGGGTGGCTACATGGGAATGCACAAGAACAGGGGCGGGAACAGTTGACAGATGCCCACAGAATCCCACGGAAACTTGTACTTCATGCAATGGCGGCGGGAGGCATTTACATTGCCCCAGATAAGCCTGCAGCCTACTAAAGAAGCCCAGACTTGGCAAAGTGGTAAAAGGAAATCCAATAGTACTCGCAACGACGAATAAGTATTAATAACAGTAATACTAATAGTGCGCATACTAAGCGTAATAGTAATTCTAACAGATGGTAATAATAATGATGATCGTGATAAGAATAGGGGCCAGCCCCTCCCTGCTTGACTGGGAACCGTGCCTTTGCGCAGCACATCGAAGAAATCCATGTTGGCCTGTCATCAACGTTCGTCATCTGCATCTTTAAGTGAAAACCTAGAGCCCCGCAATGTACCCCTGTTAGTCTCTTAGCATCTAGCAGCCCAAAGAGAGTGGCTGAACGCCTCACATCCTAAGCTGATAGTCTCCTAACGGCACTGGCGCCTCCAGCGAAAGCCTTCGAAGGTTTTCCTAAATCTTCTTCCTAGCTGCCAAGTTCTTACCCCATAAGAGCCATAGTCTAAACTCCTTAAAGGGGGTTATATAGGGGAGTATATAGGGGACTACTATAGGTGTTATTAAGGGGGATACTAGGAGTTTAGACTATAGCTGACTATCGCTCATAAGTGTTTAG